GACCCAGCCAATCGACCTCAAGAGCAGGAGTGGGGGAGGTTGAGAGGCTTGTGGGAAGCCAGTGGTGGCAGTTGGGCTCTGAAGGTTTTTCCTGAGGAGCTGTTTTGTTTGGCGTTTGTGGTTCTAAAAATAAAGTTCGTTATTTTGACAAGTGGCTCCTGAATTGTGCCCAGCCAGACTGTGGCATTAACATATGACTGATAAGCTTAATTTTAAGACATCTTTTCTTTCATCTGTTTACCCAATTTAAATTGAACCATTTAAATCACGTGAATGAAAGATATTTGGATCCATCTTTTTTTAAAATTTTTCATGAGCGCTCCTCATATATCTGCCAATCTTCATACTATGTGCATGACATATGGATATACACACACACACACAGACATACAACACATAACACAAGTGTACACACATAACACAATAGTAAAGGCCTTGTAGCTTTTCACAGGTGAAATCTCCATTGCAATGTTTAAAAACTCCACAGTTGATAAAAAAAAAATAGAACTCATCAGAGAAACATTAACCTAGGTCTGTAAGATCAAAATAATGAGCTCAAAAAATTCAGAATCTAAGAAAAAGCAAGGGTCCTAGAAAAAATGACCAGCCGGTAATTAGAAAGCACCATACAATTTACTTTTTGGTTTTGTCTAGTTTGAGTTCAGATAAAAGACACCTTTACCCCCCTTCATTTTTTTTTTTTGATCCCCAGATCAGTCTCCTACTGAGCTTGCAGGCTTCTTCGATTTGCATTTCAACTTAAGTCCTAGCTGAAGTGTGGAAGGAGCAGAGAAAACTGCTATTCTGAGCAGAAGCCTCATGCCCAAGGCATTTTAACCTTAAGACATAATTCCCAGGTTTGGATGTTGAAAATTATGATACAAATTTAAGATACAATTCACAAAATTTCATATCTTTACATCTTGTTTTGCCAAAGAAAAAAATTTTCCTACACTAGAAAAACTTGCTCATACAAAACTGAAAATAAGATCTTATTTGATAATATAAAAGCTACCATCAGAAGAAATCCCTTCAGGATCATTAAGCCATTCCTTTGTTCTGAAGTTCCTAAAGTAGTATTAACTTACATCACCTGAAAAATTCCAAAAGAGAATCACACATGACCATGTATATCCAAAATCAAGCTTTAAAAATTTCCAAGACTGTTGTTATTTAATGTCATTTCAATAAGCCAGACCAACATCCCAATCCAGCACTTTCCTTTCCTAAATCCTACACACTGAGGGGGAACAGATTACTATCCTTGCTCAAGTTAATAATGCACTGGTACACCTAATGAAATCTTCCCAGGCTACCTAATTCAAAAATTGATGAAAAAACCTGAATGATTGGGAGTTACCTGCCAACTTGGAAGTACAGTTCTTTAGTTTCCCTTCCTAAATATTTAAGTTCTCTGGCATGAATTATCTGAAATCATAAACTAAACAATTACATAAACCTAACTTTTAACTGAAGATTGTGCAAAGTTTCAAAAACCCATTCAGATACCAGATTGTTACACATATTGTAGACGCACATTCAGCCAAGGTCATTCCCAAGAAACAATCTATAATATCAACACATTATTGCATTCAATGCCCCCCTGTTTCCCCCTTTTTAACTAGACAGAGGTGGAGTATTTCTTACAGTGCAGGGAAGGAAGGAGGAAGTCCCCCAAAGCAAAAGGGCTTCGCCAGCTGCTGGGAGTCCCTCGGTTCCTCCTCCCACTTACAGGATTAGTTCCTCTGGTTTTGTCCCACCCCAGGCACCATGCATGCTCCATATCTCCCAACTTTTCAGTAGTAGGCTTCCCCAAGAAAGTGGAGTGGGGGCTCTAGGATGTCAAAATTTGTAAAAAAGTAAAAGGGGCACAGGGCGAGCCTTGAGATGGCCCGCTGGGCTCCCAGCTTGGCTCCCTCTCGCAAACTTCTCCCTCCTCCTTCCCCTCAGCCATACAGGGAAGCAGGAGAAGCATCAACCAGGGAGTGTGAGATTGCCCCATCTTTCCGGGGATACCCTTACCTCAGTACTCACTTGGCTTGGCTCGCCGATACTTTCTTGGTGTCCCTGTTCTGGGTCTGTGTTTGGAGTCCCTGTTCCAAGCGCCAAATATCAGGGTTTTTAGCCCCAGTCTCCTCCTGACCAGCAGGAGAAGCAGGAAAAGCACAAACCAACCAAGATGAGCCAAGAGAGGAAAGGTCCACTGGCCGCCCACACCCAGCCCTCCCTCCTGGGAGGACAATCAGATGTGCCAGGGAGAACAGTCAAAGCAGGATCTCATTTAATGAGGAAGTACACATAGCTTATATACTGCACAGGAGCCAATCAGGATAAAGGTCAGAGGGGTGGAGCAACTTCACGTGTACACCCACCCCATAGTCTGTAAGGGAAGGCACAAGCTGTCCACGAGAGTGGAAGAGTCCTGGACCTTTCCTGAGGTGGTCTGCCTCCTTCATCACCACCCACAGCACTGCCTCCTGGATGATCCCCAGGAGCCATCCCAGCCACATGTGCAGCCTCAAGACCAGGAAGCAGACAGCCATGCCCTACAAGGGTGATTGCACCAATTAGTAGTCCCACCAGCAACCGCTCTAGAAAGCAGTATAGAAATTTCTCAGAAAACTTTGAATGCAACCACCATTTGACGCAGTTATCCCACTCCTCTCTATACACCCAAAGGAATTAAAATCAGCATACTACAGTGACTGAGACAGATCAATGTTTATAGCAGTTCAAATAACAATAACAAAACTATGGAACCAAACTAGGTGCCCTTCAACAGATGAATGGTTTTTAAAATGTGGTATATATATATATATATATATGCACAATGGAATATTATTGAGTCATAAAGAAGAATAAAATTATGATTTTTGCCAGTAAATGGATGGAACTGGAGACTATCATGCTAAACAAAATAAGCCAATCTAATAAATTAAAGGCCAGATGTTCTCTCTGATATATGGATGCTAACACACAATAAGTGTATGCAGGGAGGAGAATAGAAGTTCATTGGATTAGACAAAGAGGAATGAAGGGAAGGGAAGAGGAATGGGATTAGAAAAGACATTAGAATGAATCAGACATACCTTTCCAATGTTCATATATGAATACAAAACCAGTGAAACTCTGCATCTTGTTTAACTTCAAGAATGGGAAGTTATACTCCATTTATGTACAATATTTCAAAATACACTCTACTGTCAGGTGTATTTATAAAGAACAAATAAAAAGTAAACTGGAAAGAAAAAGAGCTAAGGAAGTGGCCCAGTAATTAAGCACCCATGGAACAAAATAAAAAGAAAAAGATTTGAATAAGCCATTAGACCACAGAGCAATGGAGGTGTAGACATCCAGACTGCCCTTCTCCTTCCATCTCCCCTGCCCCACCCCACAGCCAGGGGCAGGGTCCTTACCTGCCACAGTCCCTGGAGATGGGGGATGAGTGGCACTGGGACTTCACTCCCAGAACTTTCAACCTCACGACAAACTTCTTCTGCGGACTAAAAGACTCGGGGCAGCAGAGCTCAAAGCAAGGCCAGTAGATGCAGTTGGGACCACACAGGCGGGTCCGGTTCAGGGGCAGGATGGTGTCATCGTCACAACACTTCTCCAAGGGGTTGTAGATCTGGTCTCCACATCTGGGCGCTGGCTGGCACAGCC